TCAGGTCATGATCCTAGGGTCTTGGGATCGAGCCCCATGTCCGGCTCCCTGCTCAGCAGGGATTCTGCTTCTCCCTCTCCATCTGCCTGCCACTCTGCCTGCTTGTGCTCTCTCTCTCTGTCAAATAAATAAATAAAATCTTTTAAAAAAAAATAATAATATGTATGGGATTGGATATCTGTTATCTTCACATTTATTTTTTGTTTTACTCACCTGCTTTAAATTATCTTTTGTCTTTAATTTTGCCTTCTCTTGCTTTATTTTCATCCTAATGCTTGTTAATTCTTCTTTAACTATTAGACTTTATTGCTAGTACCTTAAAATATTAACTCCTTTTTCTCCCATCTTTCGTGTTATTTTTTGTAATTAATTTATTTTTTTGATGTAGTGTTCCATGATTCATTGTTTGCGTATAACACCCAGTGCTCCATTCAGTGCGTGCCCTCTTTAATACCCATCACCAGGCTAACCCATCCCCCACCCCCCTCTCTCTAAAAGCCTGTTTGTTTCTCAGAGTCCACAGTCTCTCATGGTTCGTCTCCCCCTCCGATTTCCCCCCCCTTCATTTTTCCCTTCCTACTATCTTCTTTTTTTAACATATAATGTATTATTTGTTTCAGAGGTACAGGTCTGTGATTCAACAGTCTTACACAATTCACAGCGCTCACCATAGCACATACCCTCCCCAATGTCTATCACCCAGCCACCCCATCCCTCCCACCCCCCACCACTCCAGCAACCCTCAGTTTGTTTCCTGAGATTAAGAATTCCTTCTATCAGTGAGGTCATATGATACATGTCTTTCTCTGATTGACTTATTTCGCTCAGCATAATACCCTCTAGTTCTATCCACGTCGTTGCAAATGGCAAGATTTGGGGGTTTTTTGATGGCTGCGTAATATTCCATTGTATATATATACCACATCTTCTTTATCCATTCATCTCTTTCGTGTTATTTTTGCTATGTATATTTAATTACATATATATTTTCAACCTCTCAAGACATAATTATTGTGTGCAATAATGCTTACATGTATTAACATATTTACTTTTCCTATTGCTTTTCATTCCTTCTTACATTTCCATGTTTCCACCTGGGATTTTCTTATGCCTAGACATACTTGTTACCGTTTTTTTTTTAAATATGGGTCTGCTGGTGACACAGTCTCTTGTTTTTATTTGTACAGAAACACCCATTTCATATTCATTTTTTAAGGATATTTTCTTTCTATTGAATTCTGTTTGGCAATTATGTTCTTTCAGCACTTCCTGATGTTTCATTTTTTTCTGGCTTCCATTGATTTTGTTGAAAAGATGGCTGTCAGTCTTATTTTTTTCTTCTTTAAAAGTAATGTATTTGTTTTCCTCTCAAGTAACTGTCAAGATTAAACTTAGGTTTTCAGTAGTTTTGTGTTTAGATGGATTTTCTTTGTATTTATCCTGCTTGGAATCTCTAGTGCTTCTCAAATTCATTTTTCAGCCTTTATATTTTTCAGATAGTATTTTTGTCCCATTTGTTTCCTTCTTCCATTCTAGAACTCGTCACACATATGTTCAGTCTCTTCATCATGTCTTCTATGTTTCTTTTTAATTTTTTTCAGCAAGTTTTACCATAGATGTTTTCTGCTTGTGTATTTTTCCAGTGCACTATTGCTCCCTTCTGCTATGTCCAATATACTATTAAATCTATCTGTTCAGTTCTTAATTTCAATTATTCTTTTCTAGAATTTTCATTTGATTCATTGGTTCCAATCTTCTGTTGAAATTCTCATTCTTATTTGTTTTATTGAACATACTAATCATGGTTATCTCAAAATCCATGTTTGATAACTTTGGTGTCTGATACCAGGTTCTGTGGGTCTTTGTGTATTATCTGTTTTTTCTCTTGACTTAATTTCTTAGTATTCCGGTAAATTTTGATTGAATCCCTGATACTGTATTTGAAGAAGTGAAGAGGCTCTGGGTGATGTTATATTCCTCCAGAGAAGATTTACCTTTTCTTCTGGCAGATAGTGAGTGTACAGGAACCACCTGAATCCAACCAGGGACGTGTTAGCTGGAGATTGGGTTGTGGTGTTTATAAAGCTTTGCTTATCTCTTGTTTGCCCTGCTACTAGGTTGTAGCCCTCCAAGAGTGCCTACTGAGAGCTTTACATGGTTACTGTGACCACTACCCCCTTCTTTGGAAGATCCTGATCTCAGTTTTTGGCACCATATTTTCTTAAGATTAGAAAAGTTTGAAATTCTGCTTAGCTTTGGTCTCTTGCCCTGAGAAGTTTTAGAATTCAGCAAATTCTATAAGGAAAAAAACCAGTAAGTATTGGGATTACCTATCTATATTTCCCTTCTCTCTCAAATATTAGACTATCAGATTGGCCTCGAGTGACATCTGATGCCTTTAGACAGAATTTTTGTTTATCGTTTAAGATTTTCCAGTTGTTTTCTGCAGGAATGTCTGCCACATCCTACTTTACCAGGTCCAGAAGTGAAAGCCAGCCCTTAAGGTGTTAAGATTTGGCAATCCTGGCATTTAACTGACCATTTTTGTTTTGAGCAACATTATTGTGAGCTCACCAGGATTTTAGCTTTAAAATGCACCTGTTTAACTGTCTTTTCCAGATAAGTAAAGGAATTAGTTTAGTTTAGTTTGGTTTTGTTGATTATAGCTCTTTGTAGATTTTCTGGAGTGTGTAGGAAAAAAAACTGATGAGGAGGCTTGTTCTTGATAGGATTTTCCAGGCATCTTTACATCACTGCAAAGTAGTATCTAGCTCTTATCATTTCACTTTTAGTACAAAGTCTTAAATAGACTTAACATCAAAGGCAGATATTCACAAATACATAGGAAAAACTAGTATGCAGTCCAGAACTCTGCTTGTTAATACAGACATACCTCATTCTGTTGTGCTGTGCAGATGTGCATTTCTTACAAATCGAAGGTTTGTGGTTATCCTGCGTCAAGCAAATCTATTGGTGCCATTTTTCCCACAGTGTTGGCTCACTTCATGTCTCTGTGTCACATTTTGGTAATTCTTGCGATAAAATTGAAAACCTCTGGAAAGGATTCACTATTCTAGATACCATCAAGAACATTCATAACTTATGGTCACAGGTCAAAAAATCAATAGGAGTTTGGAAGTTGATTCCAATGCTCATGGATGACTTGGAGGGGTGCAAGACTTCAGTGGAGGAAGTCACTGCAGATGTGGTAGAAAGAGCAAGAGAACTAGCATTAGAAGTGGAGCCTGAAGATGGGACTGAATTGCTGCAAGCTCATAAGACAACTTGAACGGATGAGGAGTTGCTTCTTAGAGATGAGCAAAGAGAGTGGTTTCTTGGCATGGACTCTACTGCTGAGGATGCTGTGAAGGTTGTTGACATGACAACACAATATTTAGAATATGACATACAGTTAGTTGATAAAACTGAGGCAGGGTTTGAGAGATTGACTCCAGTTTTGAAAGAAGTTCTACTGTGGGTAAAATGCTATCAACAACACCTCATGCCACAGAGAAATCATTCCTGAAAGAGAAGAGTCCATCGATGCAGCAAACTTCATTGTTGTCTTATTTTAAGAAATTGCCATAGCCACCCCAGCCTTCAGCAACCATCATTCAGCAGCCATCAACACTGAGGCAGGACCCTCCACTAGCAAAAAGATTTTGCTGAAAGCTCAAATGCTGGTTAGCATTTTTTTAGCAATAAAGTACTTTATAATTATGGTACATAGAGTGTTTTTCTAGACATAAAGCTGTGCTACTTAATAGACTATAGCATAGTGTAAACATAACTTTTACATGCACTGGGAAACCAAAAAATTCGTTCGACCCCCCCCTTTATTGCAAAATTCACTGTATTGTGGCAGTCTAGAGCCGAACCTGCAGTATCTCTGAGGTCTGCCTGTACCATGAAACCAAGTGAGACAATTGTTGAGTAAGGACAGAATTTGTCTGTGGGGAGAGAAGTGATTCTGTCAGATAATGCATGGGACCATGGCTCGTATCCCAGTAGCAGAGTCCCATTTCTAGTGACTAGTATACTGCTTTCCCCAGTCAGGGCCTCACTCTCTAAGATGTACTGCGTATATCCAGGCAGATTTGCTGCTTTGTTCCTAGTTTTCCGTCCTCACATACCTCATGGTACATTTTCCTCACATAGATGTTACATTGTTCGTATAGGTTTAAAGACTTTACTTCCTCACCAGTAGTAGGAGGTCCTAATTTTATTAGCAGATATGAGTGTTTCACACAACCTTTATAGTGGCCTTTTTATTAGCCATCTGAATGCTAAAATGAGTCTATAAAACATAAAAATGTTGCTTTTAGTAGTTACAGGAATTGAATTGCTTCTCTACCAAGTGTTGACCTCTAGTTTCCCTGGTTTCCTAGGCCCAGGTTATCTAGGTTATTTTAAAGACCATACCACTGGGGCACCTGGGTGGCTCAGTCATTGAGCATCTGCCGTAGGCTCAGGTCGTGATCCCAGAGTCCTGGGATTGAGCCCCGCATTGGGCTTTCTGCTCTGCGGGATGCCTGCTTCTCCCTCTCCCACTCCCCCTGCTTGTGTTCCCTCTCTCACTGTGTCTCTCTCTGTCAAATAAATAAATAAAAAATCTTTAAAAAAAAATAAAGACCATACCACTAAAATAGACAAGGTACTTTTTTTTTTAATCCATTAGCATAGTAGGGTCTGCGTAGGCTTTTTGAGGCTTAGAAAGTCAGGTAACTTCTCTGTAATCACAAAGAAAATGAATATTGTACTCAGGATCCCAACCCAGGCCTGTACTTCTGAACTCAAGCTCCCAAGCTGTCCTGCTTCAAACATCTTACATTAAATCAACCCCTACCTGCCACGTCCTCTGTTCACCTCTCTTCCCCTTTCCTGTCCTATCTTCCCTTCAAGACGCCTTCAAAACTGCAGCCTCTTTGTCAGCATTATAAACAGGCTTATCTTCTTACCCCAAGTAGATAAAACATACGATTATGTTTGATGTCTTTCAGACTGGATGACTATGCCCGTGAGTAAGAACTCTCCTCTCAAGGCGGATATTCCTGACGAAGACTTGGATCAGTGGATGATAAAGAAAGGATTTGCTAGAGATAGTCACTGGAAATATGATGGCCTGTTGGAATGGCAGCATGGAGGCCAGGGGGTCCTTGCTCACCAGAAAACCCCCTCTGTGCTCAGCGCCCAGGCCAGGGATGAACCTGGGAAGCACTGCACTGTGATCTCATCTGTTGTTCAGAGTCAGGGATTTCAATCTACCAAAAAAGCCTTCGAGTGTAGTGAGTGTGGAAAAGTCTTCACTAAGAATTCAACCCTTAATAAACATCAGAAAGTTCATACTGAAAAACTGAATGCAAATCGGAAAACTGTTATTAAAGAGAAACGATATGAATGTAGAGAATGTGGGAAAGCCTTTCACCAGAGTACACACCTCATCCACCACCAAAGAATTCACACTGGCGAGAAACCGTACGAATGTAAGGAATGTGGCAAGGCCTTCTCCGTGAGCTCCTCACTCACTTACCATCAGAAAATTCACACTGGAGAGAAACCTTTCGAATGCAATCTATGTGGGAAAGCTTTTATCCGAAACATACACCTTGCCCACCATCACAGAATACACACTGGAGAGAAACCTTTTAAATGTAACATATGTGACAAAGCCTTTGTGTGCAGGGCACATCTTACCAAACACCAGAATATTCATAGTGGAGAGAAACCCTATAAATGTAATGAATGTGGGAAAGCCTTTAATCAGAGTACAAGTTTTCTTCAGCATCAAAGAATTCACACTGGAGAGAAGCCCTTTGAATGTAACGAATGTGGAAAGGCCTTCAGGGTGAACTCTTCCCTTACTGAGCATCAGAGGATTCATACTGGAGAGAAACCTTATAAGTGTAGTGAATGTGGGAAAGCTTTCAGGGATAATTCATCCTTCGCTCGACATCGGAAAATTCATACTGGAGAGAAACCTTACAGATGTGGTTTGTGTGAGAAAGCGTTCAGGGATCAGTCAGCCCTAGCCCAACATCAGAGAATTCATACTGGGGAAAAACCTTATACATGTAATATGTGTGAGAAAGCCTTCAGTGACCATTCAGCCCTCACTCAACATAAGAGAATCCACACCAGGGAAAAACCTTACAAATGTAAAATCTGCGGGAAAGCCTTTATTCGAAGCACACACCTTACTCAACATCAGAGGATTCACACAGGAGAGAAGCCCTATAAATGTAATAAATGCGGGAAAGCTTTCAACCAGACTGCAAACCTCATTCAGCATCAGAGACATCATGTTGGAGAAAAGTGATAGGATTATAGTTTACATGGCAGAGCTTTGAGACTGAGTATGTTAATTATTGAGTGTAAGAGAATCCATTCCAGAGAATAGCCATGAAAGCCTACCTGAAGATGGAATTTTTATTTACGGAGAATCCAGCTTCACGGTATTGTGGGTTTGAGAATTTAAGAATGGCATGCCCTCCTAGTTCAGAACTGCCTCGATTGAATACCAGTAATGTTTAATTAGTCTGAATTATCAAATATCATAACCAAAATGAAGCTTCATTAACAACATAGAAATTAGATTATCAAATTTATATTTTGACTCTTAAGAGAAATTATAAAATTGTAAAAGACCAGGTTGAGAAGCAAAGGAACAAAAAAGAAAATGGTCTATAAGCATTTCACTCACTTCTTTTATATAAGAGGGTTTCTACTTTTCAATGGAACCCTTTGTTCTCACCCACCCACTTTCCCGGTATAAGGAAAGTGCAGTCACCATGCATTGGCCCCAGAGTTACTTAAATTATTTTTCCCACCTTCTGCTTCAAACCATCTTCTCAGATTTCCCTGACTTGGGTGTCCACTGGCTGCTTACCCATATTCTCCTTCTGGGACAACTCATTTGAATGGTGTGTCCCTCTTGATTTAGCACCTCCTAACTGGTGACATTGTGTCACTTATCATCACCCCATTTGCCCTTGGGGAATGTGGTGATCTGGCCTCATAAACAGTCCATGATTCTGGGATATCACACCCAGACCCAGCATTCAGAACTCAGGAGCCCTGGGAGGCAGAGGTCGATCAAACTTCTTGAGTTCCCCAGTTCCTCTGGGCCTCACCTTGACTCTGACACTGGGATGGTACCTTAAAGTAGGGGCTTAGTTTGTGTAGACATTACCTCCAATTGTTCCTCGCTGTACTTACCCCACACACAGCAGTCAGGGGACTGCTCAGCTTCAGATGTGATAATCCAAACGTCTAGCAGTGTTCTAGGCCCCCTCCGCTTCTGTGACTTGCCATTTCCTAACATGCAGCTGACACAAGTTAGAGCCCCAAAGCCACTTCTCAAAGGCCCTGACCCCCTCTCTTGCCCTTGGCTGTCAGTCCTCTGTGACCACTGCACTAGAGTATATATTCATTACCCCCAGAATATTAACTGCTGCATCCTGGTCCCTGACCTTCTGTCCAATTTTCTGAAGGTCTAGACTGTGTTCACAGGACAAACAGCTTGGAATTTATGCTTTGGCATTTGAAAGTGGGCATTTCCTCTCCTCCATCTGGGTATTCTACTATTTAGAGACTGTCCCATTCTGACAGGGGTGAGCTATCTGTAGAGTAATTCCGTGGGTGAAGAAGTTGAGAGCATCATGACATTCTCTGGCAGGGCATTGTCCATGCCCAAAAGTTTTAGCAATACTCTATTCCTGCAGGTACAGTTCCTTCTTCATCTTTGGTTCCTCACTACTCTCAGTAGAAATCACAGAGATAAAATAACGTGTGCCTCCACACACACAGCCGCTGGTAGCGCGGTCCCCTTCCCCACCACAAAGGATGGGGAGCCCACACTGCAAACTGGAACACACCACATCATGAAGACGGAAGAGCAAGTCAACCGTTGTTCTGGGAGACGGAGTGGCAAGTTCTTAGTCCGTGGAGGTGCAGAAGAGGATAGTCTGTATCCTGGTGGAATCAGTAGACTCCAGGTTGAACACAGACTTGGAAGCTTCCAGCCACTCTAAAGCCTAAGTTCTCTAAATTCAGCTTCCATTGAATAAAGGCCGCCAGTGTGGGCAGGCATCTCCTGTGGGGGGGATCAGCAGCTCATACTTTCTCCCCTGCTAAGCTGCAGGTAAAGCAGTATTTCAAGGGGTGACTTGGAGCTCTTTGTATGCTGGGCCCACACGTGTTCATCTGCAGCCTCACAGGGCTGGAGACCCCAGATTCCACAAGAAACCCAAAAACTCGCTCACTGCTACAGATCCCTGCCTTCAGTACTAGCCATAGGGCCTGCCTGGTCCTAAACCTTGAATCCCTGTGGAACACTGCTCAGCTGAGTTCATTGTTCATTTTGTTTGTATTTAATGAGAGCTAATGCCACGGGTCCTGTGCCTGCAGTTGAGCCGGGGCCGAGACCGGCTGCCCTCTGAGAGCCTCCTCCATCCCGGGGATGGCTCCAGCATCTGTTCCTGCACCACAGTCCGTGCAGCCTGGGCTTGCTCCCTGCCCTATCAGCGCACCCATGACTACGCCATCGCAGGATAATGATTGAGCCAGTCTCCCTACCCCCTCGCCGGAACTAGAGAGAGAGAGGAGCCAGAGAAGCAGACCTAGACCCCACCTCCCACATCTGACACATCAGAGCTCCCCTGGCCTACTGTGGAATCGCCCAGTAGGCAAACCCAGTGGAAGGGCCAATTCCACTCTGCCTGGGGGAAGGTTTGAGAAGAGGATTAGCACCGTAAACTTTGTTAAAAATCATCATTGTCTGTGGGCTCCCATGAATACCCCTGAAACTGCCAGCTCTTGGGGGAAAAATAATTGCTCCAGTTTCCCCTTTCACATTCCTCCAATGCTGTCTTGTCAGGTCGCCCCATCTCCAGGTGATACTCTGGGCACCTGGCTTCTCCCTCGCCGACTGAGCTTGCCTCACTGCCAGCAGTGTCTGCCCAAGATGTTGCCTTCCTCCACATTCTGGGATATCACACCCAGACCCAGCATTCAGAACTCAGGAGCCCTGGGAGGCAGAGGTCGATCAAACTTCTTGAGTTCCCCAGTTCCTCTGGGCCTCCACATTCAGCAACAGCTTTTAGAATGGCACCGTGACCCTCAGCGGACTAGGGCTTCCCGGTTTCAGTGCCTGAGCCTCAGAGTCTTGGAACAAAACAGCCCTAAATTGCATGCATCTTTGGTTGAGAAAACAACTTAATTCCCTTGAACATGAATTTAGTCTAAGTGCATAGCCTCCAGCCATCCTCTTCCCTCTGCACTTTGCCCTCCCCTCCCTTTCACTGGATTAGCCAGCAAGGCAATGTGGACACAGGAAACACTCCCACCCTACTCTAGCCTGCAGTTGGGAGAGGTCCCAGCTTCTAGCCCCACCTCAACTCCTGCTAAATATATTTTTGGTAGTATTTTTACCTTTAGTATTTTTATACCAGTTTGTGAAGGGAAAAAGAAAATACAAAGTTTGATTGTTTCCCATCACTCATGAACTTCTCAGTTGTGCTAATGACCATTCTCTGCCAGTGCCAGGATTTGGTTGCTTGGGCATGTTCTTCTTCATCCTGTGTATTACCCTGTCTGCCACTCATCACTGTTCTTAAAAACTGCTGCCATAGAATGATCCATCAGTGTGTCTTTCTGAAAATAAATGAGAAAAGTACACAGTGTTCTAAGAGGTACAAACTGCATTTGTGTTACCTGGTTATCTCTTAAGACATGGCCAAAAGTAATGCTTCCGGGTGTTTTTATCTTTATATGGCCAGTCTGGTCCTAGCTGCCCACAATGAGCACCCAAACCTACCTGGCCCCAGAAACCATAGTTCAGGCTGTGGAATAGAAACAGTTGTGTCCCCAGTTGCTGGGGACAGCAGCTAGTATGTGAGGACATCCTTCAGACCAGGTACTGTTGTAAGCACTCTGCACATAATAACTCATTTAATCCTCAACAATTATGTGAGACTGTCCCATCCCCACTTGAAAGTTGAACAGAGAGGTTTAAAAGTATTTTGGAAGTTGCACAGCTGGTAACATGCATGATTTGAGGATGTGACCCAGTCATTGTAGCTCTAGGGCACACATGCCTCCCTGCTGCACTCACCCCCCCTCCTTCATGGACACATTCTAGGTCACCCTGGAAAGGCTGCTTGGCTCCAGACATTGGAGTGGGGCTGATGTGGCTATTGATGGGTGGAGGGCTATTGTAGCAAGTCCCCAGCCTTGCAACTATCTTCCAAGCATGGTTTTCCATACCCACTTCCTTCATGAAAAGACCTTTCCTCGGCCCTGGGTTGGCAAGGTGGAAAGGGTTCAGGTGCTCCTCTAGCCTGAGAGTACAAGAACCATGGGTTCACAACTATCAGCCCTGGGATATCTCGTGGGCACAGCCTGATAACCATGGCGGGTCCGGAACGCAGGCCAAATGAGAGTAATTATTAGGAGTGCCCTTCTGGAGATATTCCAAAAGTAGAAAGCCAAAGCTAGTAGCTAGAGAAACAGCAATAACCATTAATCGTTTCTGCCAAGCATAGTACATACACAGATGGTATGCATACATCTAGGTACTGCTTTCATGGAACTTAAATACGGAAGACAGGTATTGCAAAATGAAACACAAATAATTAGCAAAATAATTGTAGTTTGTGGGATGCATGTTTACACAGATGGGGTACCACAAAAGAGAGTGTGAGAGACCCAGCTGTAGATTGCGTGGTTGCATTGGACTTCTCTAGAATTAACAACAGACACAAAGCTGTTGAGTTCAGTGAGACAGGGAAAGAGGTTTGGATGCACAAGGCAGGAACTGGCAGGGGCTAGTTAAGTGCCATTAAAAAGGTGTGGGTGGGGCCCAGAGTGAGGACTTGCGTTAGCAAGATGAGGTTCCACAGGAAGAGGCAGGACCACAGCCCAATCAGCCACTGCAGTGAGCTTGGCACAAGTGATTGCCAGGTGTCAGGTTTTGTGCTTTAAACTTCTAAGCTTCAAGTTGTTGCTATTGATGAATAAATTTTACCAGAGCATAAATATTGGGAAGTTTTCCAATTAGTTTGTTCTTTCCCAATTAATTTTCCTTGCAGTGAATAAGAAATTCCAAAATTGGAAGAACTTAAATATGGGAACTTAAAAATCATGTAAGTTTCAATTGCTAATTTATTTCAGCAATATACTTCAACCAAGGTACAGCATTGCTCACTGTTACCTAATGTTATCATTTCTAGTCATTGTGATGGTGGGGAAATGGGGTTATAAATATTTACAGGCGAGGATACACCAGATTCCCCTTGGTGCATTGCCTCAGGCTCCTCACCAATCTTTCTGGTCCCCTCTGGACCACCTCCCACTCCAGCCACCAGTGACTTTGTCCACCCCACAGATCCAGTCACGGCACTCACCTGTATAAACCCTTCCATGGTTCCCCTTGGCCAACCATGGGAAGCAAAGCCTTTCAAGACCCTTCACAGCCAGACCCGTGTAGAATTCATATTTTTATGAGGGAAATACAGCACACATTTCTCTAGAGAGCAGTTTTGAAGAAGGAATGCTATTTTTTTTTAAAGATTTAATTTATTTATTTATTTGAGAGAGAGAGAGAGAGAGAGAAACAGCATGAGAGGGGAGAGGGTCAGAGGGAGAAGCAGGCTCCCTGCCGAGCCATCGGGAGCCCGATGCGGGACTCGATCCCAGGACTCCGGGACCATGACCTGAGCCGAAGGCAGTCGCCCAACCAACTGAGCCACCCAGGCGCCCAAGAAGGAATGCTATTTGAGGGGTCTGAGATGGGGTCTTGGGATCGGTTGGCTGTGGGGTTTGTGTAATGAGTGGGGTCTGCATGGATAGTGACTGGTAGGACTGGGAGGGTGGATGTTGGGAAATGGGGTCAGTGATGTGGGCATCTGCAGGGATCAAAGAGACTCTGGCTGTCAGCGACTGTGGGAGAGGCTAATCATCTTGTCCAAGGTCACTTACTAATGTGGCAGAGCTGGTATTGATCTCAAGAAGTCTGAACCTTGACGCTGTACAATTTCTAGATACAAAAGCTGACTGGAGGAAGTCTACAGTGTCTGGGGCAAGACAAAGTCTGTGGGCCCTGGAAATTTCCCTGTCTGGCAGATCAGGATGGGAAAAAAAATAACTCAGAAGTTGATAGTATGGGTAAGTTCAACATTCAAGAGCCCTGGTAGAATAAGCTAATAATATTTCATCTGCCAGGTTGTATCAGTGAACAGCATGTGGGGCTGGACCCATGTGTCCTTCCTGCTATTTCTGTTTCTGAGTCTGCAGGCAAATACGAGAATGAATTGCAGCCAGATACAGGTGCCGGAAGAGGGCAGGGCCCATAGCAGCATCCCTATGAGGGTGGGGAGCTGGTGCCCCGGAATGATGATTTTGATACTGGTGTGTGGGATGGAGGGGAAAGACACAGGAAGCAAAGAGTAGTTAGTATCCCACCAGAGTAATCCACAAGTGAAGCGACGAGGCTCACAGTGTCCAGAACCAGTCCCTTCACTAATCTGCCTCTCCACACCCTCGACTGCCTTTCATCCAAGCCTTCCCTCAGTGTCTCCGCGTTCAGAGCTGCACCCCATCTTGGTTCCTGCCCTTTGCTCTTGAAAGGTCATCTCTGAAACTCCCAGCCTCCTATGGCTGTCAGTACTCTGTCCACACGGCAGCAGGCTTCCCCCCTCAAAGCCCAGGAAATGGAAAACATTTACACTTGGGAATTTTTCATATTTAGAAAAAAGATATCAATAAAACCGTATTTCTGAAGAGGTTTCCTTCTATAAAATGGTGGTGGAAAGATTCACCTGGAATTGTGCACTTTATTCCAGTTTAGAAGGAGTCTTGCAAATTGGCGACTACATAAAAAAGCAGCAGAAAATGCAAGTCAAACTTCTGGAAAAATGTATATTTATTCAACAAGAACTCACTGAGTGAGAGACAATGAAAGTAATGAATTTGGGGAAAATTTCCAAAGAGCACAAAATGTAGTAAATGTGACAAAGCTATAGTAAATGTAATAGATGTGTTGAAAAATTCACACTAGTGAAAAGATATGAGCACATAGTAAATATGAGAGAGGCCCTCCTTATACAACTCTCCACACATTGGACACAGATGATACCCTTGTGAATAGGTGAATAAAAGTTTATACCAAAATGTAATCTTCCTCTGCTTTAGAGAACTCATACTGGAGAGAAACACTGTGATCGTAATGTGGGAAAGCCTCCAATCCAGAGCCCCATTTTCACTGGAACACAGAATTCATACTGGGAAGAAATCATTCATGGGCAATGAATGTGAGAAAGCCAACAAGCATAGCCCAGTTCTTATTCAGCATAAAAGAAACCACACAGGCAGAATGCCTTATAAATTTCACAAATTTGAAGAAAAAAAAAAGCCTTTATTCAGGGGTTCAAATTGACTGAACCTCAGAGAAGGCAAAACTATGCTTGTAAATAGCACGGGAAGACCTTCAGGAAGTTGTCAACCCCTCACTGAGGATTCCCCGCTGCACACAAAATGACGCGCCTGCTGTGGAAATCATGACAGTGGACTGAGTATGAGACGCCCATAAGAAGGAACCAGAACCTGCTTGTGCCAAAGCATTCACATCAGAGAGACTGGTATGAACGAATGTGGGTAGTGTGTGAAAGTCTTCAGTCAGAAGCCAGGACTCTAAGGCAGAAACCTCACACTGGGGAGAAATCCTCTAAATGTAGAAAAGTTATACTAAGAAATCCTCCAAACTCTAAGTCACAGAGTTCAAAGTGGGGAAAACCACAAATATGTAAAATATGTGGGAAAGTTTTTAACTAGAAGTCAACACTGATTGCACAACAGGGAATTCATCCTGGGAGAAACACCAAGAAAACAACAACAACAACAACAAAAACACAAGAACACCTTCCTTCTGATATCAGAGCTCACCGGCTCTCTGAGAGTTCATATAAGAGAAAAACCCTATCAAAGCACTAATGTGGGAAAGCCTTCAGCAAGAAAACACCTCATCACATTATACATCAGAAAACCCACACAGGAAAGAAGTCCTATGAAATAAATGAATTTTGGAAAGCACTGAGCGATAGATAAAACTTCATAATTCACACTGTGGAGAAACCAGAGAAATGCAAAAAATGTGAGGAAGGAGCATCTGTACACCAAAAATGTTATTCTGAGAAGCTCTATTAACTTAAGGAACACAGAAACACCTGGCCCCAGGGTCAAAATCTATTTATGCAGCAGAGGAAGAGGAAAGAGTCTTTTATGTATGAAGTGTGGTTGACCCTCAGAATCAGCTCTGGACATTAGATACTAGAGAATTCAAACTGATAAATGAAGAGCCAATTTAACAAATGTAAATTGTACCACAGGGAAATACAATTCCATAACTGAAACCAAGCTTTTTGGGAAAAAAAAAAAAACCTGAAAAATAAATGTCCATGCATCTGAAGTCCAAGTATCTTCCTCCCCATGCTTCATGTTTGCCTTTCAAAGGGGACCTCTCAGTAAATGTTGGGAGAGGAAAGTTTTGATGTTCATCCTAAGATATCTACTTGGAATTAATCATCGCCATGGATACAACCTGAAACTCCTGACCATAATCCCTCATGGGCATCAGAAGAGGGCAACTGTCACCCTGTTGCTTTATTCTCACACCACTAACACCACACGAGTGTTTGGGGGTCATTTAAGGGAGTATGCACAGAAAAGGCAAAAAGCTATGGTCTAAGTGTGACATGCCCCAGACCCTAGGGGCGAAGGTCCCAAGAAAAAGACCTCAACACAAGTAACCCCATGGGGTACGTCCCAGTTCCTCTGCTGGTTCCCACGTCCTGTCCCAGGTCCATCCTTGCTCACAGGGCTCTCTCACCCAAGGTTCTATCCCTCAGTGCCAAGCCTGAGTTACTCAGGCCAGAAGACAGAACCCCAGGTCTCTTGTGGAAACTGCCCCTCCCCGAATCCAGCCCTGTATTTCTAGAGTGAGATCTACACATTCTAGCATCCTGCCCAATCCCCACGTTCTGATGGCTATTTGGGTAGAAATCTCACTCACGCTGGGCCATGTCCAGGGGCTTCATCACACTCTCTGAACTCAGACCAGGGGTGTAAGTTCAGTCCCTCCCTAGAGTAGGATCCTCTCGGTAGCTGTTTCCCACCATGAGTAGAAAGTCTGGTCTGCAGGGGGTATGCATGATGCCAACAGGCACGGAAAAGCAGGGATGAAGTGTGGTGTGTGGGTGCAGGTCTTTCTGGAGGCCAGCCCCATCCTGGTGGTCATGGGCTTCATGGACTCTCTCCTTCTGATTGTTCACTGCAGACCTGGACTTTCCACAGCTTCCACCGTGAAGCAAGAGAAAGGAAAGAGCAGAAGGGAGGGAGCAACCATCCCCACTCCTTCCCCACTCGCTACTTGGCGGCCTCTGTGTCCTCGCCCTTGGGTGGGGCTGCCACTGTCGAGGTCGCCTTGAGGCTCCGCTTCCGCTTCTGCACGTTCTGCTCCGGGTGGAACAGGATGACGTAGGTTTTGGGCACATAGAGCATGCCGAGGGACACTGATGCACTCAGGCTCAAGGACACAGTCAGTGTGGTGGTTTGGATGTAGATCTGAGCCATGGAGGAAGGGACTGGGTGGGACTCGGCCCTGTTCTCTCCCACCCTCCACCCCCACATGAGTCTGTGTTCATCGGGTGAATGGAAAGGGCAACCATATAAGCAAAGGCCCTGTGGCATGAAGAAGTGATGGTCATGGTGTGGCTCTGATGTAGGCAGGAAGGAGGATGAATAACACAGGACCAAGTGGACAAGTGACCAAGGGAAGTGAAGGGCTCATTCACAGCGAGCGACACCTGGGGAAGTGGTCCGTATGCCTAAAAAGCGCTAGAGCATGTTAATGAATGGATGAATGTTTTCAAATGTACACATGAGTGAACACATTGAATAAAAGAGCAAGTGGGCAAACATATGAAGGCCAGGGGTGAATAAACATGTTCTACTATACACACAAATAAATCACTGAATTATGAGCAAGCAAATAGACTGACAGATTGATGGACTGATGGGTATAAAGTATATAAAGGAGTAACTGAATAAAAATAAGTTAATGGAGGGGCGCTTGGGTGGCTCAGTCAGTTAAGCATCTGATTCTTGGTTTCAGCTCAGGTCATAATCTCGGGTCGTGGGATTGAGCCCCGTGTTGGGCTCCATGCTCAGCATGGAATCTGTTCGAGATTCTCCCTCACCCTCTCTCTCTGCCTCTTCTCTGGCTCACATGCTCTCTCTCTCTAAAATAAATAAATAAATCTTTAAAAAAAAAAAATCTAAGTTAATGGATGGTTAGAAGCACGGATGAACACATGAATGAAGGAAGGAAAACGGGACTGACTGAAGCAGCAAAGGGAGACTGACAAACAAGTGAATGAGTTTTTAAGTACATGAATGAATTAACCAACAAGCAATCATTCATGTGGGTGGCCCAGCTCTTGGGACAATTGAGCCCTTCCTCAGACAGGCAGGAAACAAAGGAGGCAGTGGAACCAATGGGGGACCCCAGATTACCTTTTCAGCTGACTGGGCGGTGCCAAAGAAGATAGGCACAAAAGCCAGCCAGATGATGCAGGTGGTGTACATGGTGAAACCGATGGGCTTGGCCTCGTTGAAGGTCTCAGGCACGCCACGGGCTTTGATGGCATATACCGTGCATGTGACCATGAGCAGGAGGCTGTAGCCCAGGCAGCCGATGAGGGACAGGTCCGACATGTCGCACTTGAGCACCCCTCTGGCCTGCTCTGGGTCCACTGTCCGTTGCTCTTCATAGTCGATCACGCTGTGTGGGGGCTGGACCCCCAGCCATGCCATCACTCCCACCACCTGCAGGAGCCAACACCGGATCAGGGACATACCCAGCCTGGCCACCCACCAATGTCTCTGGCAGGTTAGGGTCGCCTTGAGGCTCCTGGCCTACTGAGTGGGATGCTCAGGACTGAGAGCCCCCATGGAGAGGGGCTGGCCATCCAGGAGGGGACTGCCCATGCAAAGGCTGGTGGACAGTGGAGGTACGTGCTGGCAATGTCAGGGCTGGCTGGGTAACAGGCCGCTGGATGTCCTCTTCCTGTATTCTACCCCCCAGGTAGGTAGGACCATCTCCATTCTGTAGATGTGAAAACACTAGCTTAACCCCGTCTAGCAACATGGCAAACCTCATTCCTGAGGACCCCTTCCTTCTCCAGATCCAGAGAACTTTTGAACATAATGTAATGAGATCATGTGGGAATGCAGAGTGAAGCTCAGAATGAGGCACGAAATAGAGAGTAGTAAGGATGTGAGCTGATGCCGAGTGGCCCGGGAGGTTATCAAAATCAAACACAGAGACGCCTGGATGGCTCAGTCGGTTAAGCGTCTGCCTTAGGCTCAGGTCATGATCCCCAGGGTCCTGGAATCAAGTCCCTCATCAGGCTCCTTGCTCATCAGGGAGCCTGGCTCTCCCTCTTCCTGCAGCTCCCCCTGCTTGTGCACTCTCTCTCTCTGACAAATAAATAAATAAAATCTTAAAAAAAAAAAAAAAGTCAAACGCAAGCACTAACAGGGAGGAGAAGGAGTAGCAGTTCCCTCACAGTGACAGGAGACATGACCTTGAGCCAAGGGAAGCTGGGGAGCAGGAACTTAGACACCTGCATGAAGGCAGGACCCTGGAAGGGCTGTCCTGTTCGTTTGTGCAGGTTGTTCACTGTACAAGACTGCCTGGTGTGTGTGTGTGTGTGTGTGTGTGTGTGTTGTGGGACAGGTAGGGCTGAAATTTAGCCAACACTTCAGTGCCATGCTATGTACCTAGAGTGGGGCTGTGTGAGCCTGGAGGAAGGAATGTTTTTTAATAATTTGTACAACCAGAAGAAGAACCTTTTTGTGATTCTCCAGAGGCAGTAGCTCCATGGACAAGGGACTAATAACACCCCACCCAATGTCCAGGAAGGCAGTCTGGAGGCGCCTCTTAGAACAAGCTTCTAGGTAGGGAAAAAAGTTGCCTATGAGAAACCTATCCAAGGTCTGAGGTACACCGGAATAGCAACCAAAATGGACCCCACCAATTTCACAACCCCTGTAACTGATAAGGAACTAGCATCTAGTACCTGTTAAAAACAAAAACCAAAAACCAAAAACCAAAAAAAGACACCTCCTACAAAATAATAGAAAATGAGCAAAGCACAGGAACAGGCACATCACAGAAGAGGAAACTTCAAAGGCCAGCTGCACTCGTAACTAAGTAGATGCAAATTAAAACAATGAGATGCCATTTCGTGTGCACCATATTGATAAATAACCTAGTAAAACTGCAGGTGTGCCTCTTTGCAGGAGCCTGGGATTTCCGGAAAGGAAGGTATAATGTGGGGAGTCCATAGATGAGCCAGGAAGTACTGACTGTAGTCTAAGTACCTCTGTCCTGGGGGCAGGGGCAACACAGGGGTTTCGGGCAGGGAAGCAGGGAGGTAAGAGGTCGGGATGCACTGGGCATTGGCGTTCTGGCCCTCACAGGGATAGCTTGGGCCCTGCTCTCTGCGGGAAGATGGCAACACCTTTCAGTTGTGGAGAATCGCATGGACCAAGGCCTGCAGGTGGGAATGAACGTGGCATACACAGAGCTAGGTAGGGGGAAGGGTTTGCCTGGAGTGCAGAGTGTGCCATGTCCAAAGTAGGCTGAGCGAAGGCCCTCCACGTAGCCCTGAGAACTGGCCTGGCTCTACGGTTCCGCAATGTCGCCCACACCCGAGCACTGAAAACATCCAGTGCTTCCCAGATCATGAGGATAATTTCCAGTGCTATAATATTACTACCTTAGAGAAACCCCTGAAGGAACTCTGCTTTTGCTGTACACATGTCATGAAATCCTGGCCATTTATGGAGCTGGACACCCCACTCCACAGTAAAGTCGCTGGAGCCATGCCTCTCATCCAGGTTACCCCAGTGACTGGGCAGCAGGAACTCCCTTTATGGAAACTGATTCTTTTTCTGCTTGAGAAAAATTGTCAGATAGCTCTCTGCCTTATTATTATTATTATTATTATTATTATTATTAAGATATTACCTATTCATTGGACAGAGAGAGGGAGAGCACAAGCAGGGGGAGTGGCAGGCAGACAGAGAGGGAGAAGTAGGCTCCCCGCGGAGCAGGGAGCCCTACGCAGAGCTCGATACCAGGACCCCAGGATCACCACCTGAGCCGAAGGCAGACACTCAACCGACTGAGCCACCCAGATGCCCCTCTTTGCCTTATTTTTATGTGGGAGCCAAATTGTGGAAGAACCTGTTCCGTGTAGGAAAATAATCTCGTTTTTTTTTTTTACAGAAATGGAGCTGGATGCTGGCACTCCCCATCTTACTGACCCAGTTCCCTCCAGGATGGAGCAGGATGGGGGGGGGGTAGGGAGGAGGAGTTCCGCTTATAGAACAGTGGGGCCCTGTCTCCTGCAGCCTTTTAAAAAAAACAAAAAACAAAAAAACATAGGAGCCAAAATAGAAGAGTGCTTCTCTGATTTTCAGAGTGAAGGACAACCCCCTAGCCCAGCCGCCTTCCATCCCGGCCCCAGCGTGGCCCTGGGAGCCCGAGGCCCACCTGCACCGAGGTGAGGCTGAAGGTGATGGCGAGCTGCGAGGTGGGGCTGATGAAGGGCGGGGGCGTGACGGAGCGCTTCCCCTGCTCGAAGATGCGGTAGATGCGGTTGGTCTTGGTGAGCAGGGCCGAGTAGCTGAGCGTGGTGCCCAGGCCGAGGAAGAGCCGGCGGGCCGCGCACACGGCCGCCCCGGGCTCGGCCACCATCAGGAAGGTGATGGCGTAGATGAGGAAGATGCCGGTGAGCAGCACGTAGCTGAGCTCGCGGCCCGAGGCCCGGACGATGGGCGTGTTGTTGTGACGCACGAAGGCGGCCACCACGGTGGTGGTGGCCATGCTGCCCAGCACGGCCAGCAGCAGGGGCGGCGCGGCCCAGGGCGAGGACCAGCTGAGACGCACGACGGGCGTGGGCCGGCAGCCCGTGTGGTTGCGCGTAGGCCGCATGTCCCCGGGGCAGGCCTCGCACGTGAACTCGTCCACCTGGAAGCGGTACCCGTCGCACGGCTCGCAGTGCCAGCAGCAGGGCACGCCCTTCACCATCTTCTTCCGCTCACCCGGCCCGCAGGGGAGGCTGCACTGGGACGCGGGCACGTCGCGGGGCTCCCCCGACCACTGGAGGGCTTCCACCTGCGGCACGGGAGACGCGCGGGCCTGGCACCTGCGTCCGGGGGGGCCGGTGCGGCCCGCGCGCCCCCGCCGCCCCGAGCTCGCGCGTCCGCGCCCACTCACGTCCAGCCTGAGGGTCTCTGCCCACTGGCCCACCGCCTTGTAGCTGCCGCTGCCCGCGCTGCCGTTGGCCGCCTGGTACTGGAAGATGTCGTATCTCCCCGGCGCGTCCCCGTTCTCGTTGAACATCACGGGGGTCCCCGCGCTGCCTGGACCGAGAGCCCGGCACCCTCAGCTGGTTGTCCAGCCCCTCCCGGAGAGGCCCAGGGCCCGGCCAGGATAAAGGAAGAGTATAACGGGCAGGCGCAAAGACGCTCAGTGTCCTCACACCCATTAGGATGGCCACTGTGACCACCCCCGGAAAGAACAAGCCTCGGGAGCATGTGGAGGAACTGGAACCCCGAGGTTGCTGGTGGGGATGGAAAATGGTGCCGTCACTGTGGAAATCGGTGTGGCGGGTCCTCCAAAAACTGGACGTAGGATTACCACCTGACCCCGCAACCCCACTTCCAGGCGTATGCCCCAAAGAAGGGACTCAGCTCCAGGACTCTCAGAGATGAGTCACCCATGTTCACGGCAGCATCATTCCTGGTAGCCAAAAGGTGGATGCAATGGGGGTTGAATGGATAAACAAAATGTTGCCTATTCGTTCGTGCAAGGTTATTCTCCAGCCTTAAAAAGGAAAGACATTCTGACATGGGCCACAGCATGGGTGAAGGTTGAGGACGTTATGCTGAGGGAAATGAGCCGGGAACAAAAGGACAAATACTGCATGATCCCTCGCGTAGCACGTACGTAGAGTCGGCAAAATCTCAGGGACAGAAAGTAGGATGGGAGTTGCCAGAAGCTGCAGGAGGGGGAATGGGGAGTTAGTGTTTAATGGAGACAGAATTTCAGTCTTGGGAGATCAAACAAGTTCTGGAGAACGGTTGCACACAGTGCACACACTAAACCGTACCCTTAAAAATGAAGATGGTAGACATGACGCTACGTGTATGTTACCACAATTTAAAAAAAAAGGAAAGGGCTTAGCCGGCCAAGAGAGACGGTGGGTTCAGACTTGTACAAAGACCAATCAGCCTTATTTCTTTTAGAGGCTTGTTCTACCAGCTCGTAAAGCCGGTCTGGGGTGATGTTAAGCTGTGCTATTTAGCAGAGAGCTTGGCAGAGAGGACGTGCTCAATATTTGGTGGGAGAACCGTTTTTAATTTCACAAAGCATCGTCACTGAACAAGAAGTGTATCTCTCCGCACAAACCACGAGGGTGGCTTGAGTCCACTCAGGCCTTTTCCAGACCTTATTCTGAGCCCTGCCTGTGTGCCAGGCCCTCTGCTGGTACCAGGGGACACGATCCCACTCTGCCTCTCCCATCCCTTTGATCCTGAGTCACCCCAGGTCCAGCACAGAGATCCATCCCTGGCACGTCCCTTCCCTGTGGGAGCGGATCTGGCTCCCACTCACCATTGAAGCGGACAGCTCGAATATACTGCAGCAGCATCCGCCCATCGGTGGTCTCCATCGCGGGGCACAGGCCAGTGAGCCCGGGGCAGAGCGCCTGGTGCATGCTGTGGAGGGCGTGGGCAATGGCGTACACAGCGTCGATCACAAACTGCACCTTCCCCTCCTGCTCGTAGGTCGAGTCCCGGCCGATGCGTTCCTCGCCTGTCCTAGGGATGCCCAGAGGAAGTGTGCCCGGCCCTCCCGGGTGCCCCGCCTGGCCTCCCATCTTCTCCCTCATCTCCCGTGCCACCCTGGGCAGCTCTCACCTGTGCATTTGCGGGTGGTGTCGTCTGACTGGGTACCTGAGCTGGTCAGCTTGCAGTTAAAATTCTCCTCCCAGAACTCGGCAAACCAGATGTTCCGACGGTTGTTCTCCAGGGAGCGGGTCATGAAGTACTGGTCAAATCCTGAGAGGGAGGAAAGAGGACGGCAACCATCTGAATGACTCTTCTGTGTCCCTTCACCACTTGCTCACTTTGCAGCTGGGACTGGCCACGTGACCAGCTTCTGGCCCATGATTTCAAAGCCGCCTCGGGGCCTCAGGGTAGAATGTGCATCCTGTTGTAAACGCAGAGCCTTGCCACACTGAAGACTTGTATGCTGCTCCTTCTTTCCTGGTTAGGATGCTGCGGTGAAGATTTAATGGGTGGAGCTTCAGCAGCCACTTTGTGAATAAGATACCTGAGTCACGAAGGCACAGAGCAACCACCGAGAATGGTGGAACAGAAGCGGGGACAGGGCTCGGGACTTTGAGAACATCATTAACTCACTGTCCCAGACCTGAAGTGGCCTATTTTCAGATGTCTTAATCTGTTGATGAAATGCCTTTATTGCTAAAATCACTCTCATTCTAATTTGTCAAATGCAACCAAGTGCACTCTAAAGGAAAGCAAAAGTGTGAGGGTGGGTGGGAGACTGGGAGCCCCTGAAAGTCAGGGTTCTCAGTCTTTACAAGGTTTAGCCTCATAAAATAGCCCTGAAGCACCTCGTCAAGGCATCTTCAGTTCAGGTTTTGGGAAAACAATCAATCCTGTCGTAAAGAATGGTGGAGGAAGGGAGGGGAGGCAGGCTTCATGATTTGATCAACAAGACAATAGGTCCCCATCCTCAGTTTTGCTCCCTCTTCCCCCATCGTCAAATTAGTGTGTCTTTTGCAGAACCAGGAATACCAGGCAGATAGACACTGAATTAAAACAAAAACAAAAACAGAAAAGACACAACTAACTCTTGACCCTGTACAGTGGGGTGGGCTTTTCCTCCTTTGCCAAATCAAACACTGCTTGGAGGGATGTATTCACAGAATCTCAGAATCCTAGAATTTGGGAATCCCGGAAGGGACATGGAGCAGGATACAATTGTACAGATGGGGAAAATGCACACCCCCAAGAGGGGATCGTGGGAAAGGACAAGCAGGGGCCTGGGACGTGGTGGGGGTGGGCATCCCTGCACTCACCATCTATGGAAGCTCTTTTGGGCAGGATGGTGATGGCCCCCACAGCCACGTCCTCCAGGTTCAGGATGGGAGAGGTCTTGGCTCCCCAGCTGTCTGAGCCGACCCATAAGAAGTGACCTGTCAGGTTGGCCTGGCTTGCGGCCTCCAGGACCCTCCTGGTAGGAACAGGGCGAGGGGTGAGGAAGGACCTAAGATCCTCCTCCAACTTACCTCTGGCCACTTCCTGTTCTTCTCTCTCCTTCTATCCCATTCCAAACCACCCATCAGACCCTTGTTTATCAGGAAAAGTGGGGCGAAGGGGGTTTTGGACACTTGCCCCGGGCTTCTCAGGTAGTAAAGGTTCCAGCCAGGCTCTGGCCCCAGGCCTGTCCTCCTGTTCGGTGCGCTGCAGCCCACTTCACATGCCTGGAAGAAGGGCCTCCCTTCTCTTGCAGAGGCTCCTGCTGGCTCGGAGCCACACAGGCCTCAGGCCAGGGTCCATGGCCACCTGCTGATACCCCCTGAATTGCCCCCCGAGCCTCCTTCTCTGACAGCTCATTTTTGGCACTTAGATCTGCCCCCGGGTCTCTCCCCCACTGTGAATGATAAGAACAGACAGCTATTCCTGTGTGTTCCCCTTGGCTAGTCCTGGAGCATCTCCACCCAGGCTGGGCCCAGTTCATTTCTGGCTGCACCAGACAGACAGATGGCAGCTGGAAAAGTGTGTAAGGGCAGAAGGTGGGGGGGGGGTCAAGAAGAGGGAGGAGGAGGAAGGGAGGATGTGCATGGCTGGCGGATGTGTAAGAAGAGGGGGCAGGGCTTTCAAGGAGAGCCTCTGATAACTACGGTGATTCAATGTGCCCACTGTCCCACCTGATGTCATCTTCATTGGCAAAGATGATGATGCCCCGGGCGTTGGGCGTCTCCATGAGCCTCTTGATCACCTTATTGAATTCTCCTGGCTTCGGTTCCCTGGGAATCTTGATGGACTGGGCAATGCAGACCCCCCCTGGGTGTCGGTGATGCCAGAGTCACTTCTTGTTCTACCCAAGCACCCACCCACCAGGGCCGCCCATACTGTGGCAGGGGCTGAGTGCTCCAAAGGAAAGGGGTGCCTGCCCACAGGGGCACCATCCAGGCTCCCCACCATGGACCCAGTCAGTGCCCCATCTCCTGGCTTTGGCCCTGCCCGATGGCCCCTGGCTCAGCCCTCTATAGGCTCCTTGATGCCTTGGACCCCCGCTCCCAGCTCACCAGCCTCCCGGGAGATCTGCACAAAGGCCTCAACCCCGCTCTCGCCATAGTTGCCCTCGGAGGCCAGTGTGGACACATAGTTCCATCCCAGTGCCCTCACGATGTCCACCATGGCCTGGGCCTGGTAGGAGTCCGGTGGCACCACTCGGGAGAAGAAGTCGTAGCGCGTGGAGTCGCTGAGCTCAGGAGCTGTGGAGGCGTAGCTGATCTGGGGTATCTGGAATAGGGAAGGACACCTGGGCTACGGATGGAGGGCCAGTGACCCCCGGGGGGAGGGAGGGCAGCGGGGATCCAGGACACAGGTCGGGGCACGGAAGTCTGGGATGAGGGCACCAGGTGCCAATGTGGGAGAGCCGGGTGGAGAGGCCCAAGGGTGTGGGGAGCGCTCTGTACTTGAGACGTGATCTGACGGAATGTGGGAGGTATGAGGGTCTAGGGGAGAGGGCAAGGCCCCGTATACATAGGTACCGGGTGTGTCCAGGCAAAGGGGAAGTAGGGCCTCAAGTCCAGCCTGCAGCAATCCAGCTGCTGGGCACACGCTGCAATGGCAAGGGGAATGGGACTCCTTGTCAGCCCCAGGGGACAACCTATTTTCCTAATTCACACAAAGGGACAAGTCTGTGTAGGGAAGCGGCAGCCCCAGGCAGGGTCAGGGCGGGCAGGGGAGCTGGGAAGGGGTTATTTGATTCAGAGCTGTTTCTGGCCTAATGGAGGGACCCGCACGGACCTGGGTTTGTCTGTGTGCCCAGTTCCATGGGATTATGGGCTGAGCTGATCCTGGAGAAGGTGGGGGGGGGCGGGGAAGAGCAAGTATGAAAGGAGAGTGGAGAGTGGTAGCAGAAGGCTGAGGAAGTCAGGGAGAGGGAGACTAGCAGAGAAGAGGGATGAGGTGGGAGCTGGTGTGAAGGGCAGAAGAGAGGGAATGTTCCGGAAGGAGTGGGCTGAGTTGGTCCAGGGGAGACAGGGATGTCTGAAGCAAGGCAGAAAGAAAGCGTGGAGTGTGGAGACATGATGGGAAGAGCAAGAGGGAGAGAGAAGGAAAGAGGGAAGGAGGAAGGGGGAAGAGAGACAGGGAGATAGAGAAAAACAAGAAGAACCACAAAGAAGGAGGGAAGGTCAGAGAAAGGCCCAGAGCAGTTAACGGACACTGTGTCTACTGTGGGCACTCCAGACGCTCAAGTTTGATCTTCAGAACCACCTTCCTGTACAGGTTGAACCTCCTCTGGGAAGTTCATCTAAAATGCCGAACCCAGTGATGCACACACATATGGAGGTGAACTCGGAAACCCTCAGCTCTGCTCCTAGACCAGGAACTGCAAAAAGGCCCCCCAGGGAGCCAAATCTGGCCCCTGGTTGCCTTTCATGCACCAATGTCTTCATTTTTCTAAATTTTTGGATTGGCAGCCAGTGTTTATTTTTTTATTTTTATTTTTTTTAGATTTTATTTGAGAGAGAGAATGAGAGAGAGAGAGAGAGAGCACATGAGAGGGGGGAGGGTCAGAGGGAGAAGCAGACTCCCTGCCGAGCAGGGAGCCC